ATGAGGGAAAATGGGGTTAAAATGGGGAAGAAATGGAGAAAAATGGGGGTGAAAATGGGGGGAAAATGGGGTTAGAATGGGATAAAATGGGGAAAAAATGGGAAAAAATGGGGTTCAAATGAGATTCAATGATAAAAATGGGATAAAAATGGTTAAAAATGGGATTAAAATCGTTAACAATGGGATTAAAGTGGTTAAAAATGGGATTAAAATGGCTAAAAATGGGATAAAAATGGTTAAAAATGGGATTAAAATCGTTAACAATGGGATTAAAGTGGTTAAAAATGGGATTAAAATGGCTAAAAATGGGATAAAAATGGTTAAAAATGGGATTAAAATCGTTAACAATGGGATTAAAGTGGTTAAAAATGGGATTAAAATGGCTAAAAATGGGATAAAAATGGTTAAAAATGGGATTAAAATCGTTAACAATGGGATTAAAGTGGTTAAAAATGGGATTAAAATGGCTAAAAATGGGATAAAAATGGTTAAAAATGGGATTAAAAGGGTTAAAAATGGGATTAAAAGGGTTAAAAATGGGGTTAAAAATGGGGTAAAAATGGGATTAAAATGGGTAAAAAATTGGATAAAAAGGGTTAAAAATGGGATTAAAATGGTTAAAAATGAGGGAAAATGGAGTGAAAATGGGAAAAAATGGGCAAAAATGGGATAAAAATGGTTAAAAATGGGATTAAAATCGTTAACAATGGGATTAAAGTGGTTAAAAATGGGATTAAAATGGCTAAAAATGGGATAAAAATGGTTAAAAATGGGATTAAAAGGGTTAAAAATGGGATAAAAATGGGGTTAAAATGATAAAAAAATTGGATTAAATGGGGGAAAATGGGTAAAAAATGAGCAAAAAAGGGTTAAAAGGGGTAAAAATGGGGTTAAAATGATAAAAAAATTGGATTAAATGGGGGAAAATGGGTAAAAAATGAGCAAAAAAGGGTTAAAAGGGGTAAAAATGGGGTTAAAATGGGTAGGGTATGCAAATGAGATGAAAATGGTATTCAAATGAGATGAAAATGAGATAAACATGAGGGAAATGGGGGTGAAATGGAGGAAATTATATTAAAATGAGATGAAAATGGGTAAAAAATGGGGAAAATCGGTCAAAAATGGGATTAAAGAGGATTAAAAAGTGTGATATTCAAATGAGATTAAAATGAGACACAAGGTTTTAAAATGAGGTTAAAATGGCATTAAAATGGGGAACATGGTATTAAAATGAGATTAAAATGAGACACAAGGTTTTAAAATGAGGTTAAAATGGCATTAAAATGGGGAACATGGTATTAAAATGAGATTAAAATGAGGGAAAAGAGGCTAAAATGAAGGAAATGGCATGCAAATGAAATGAAAACGGCATTAAAATGAGGAACATGGTATTCAAATGAGATTAAAATGAGACACAAGGTTTTAAAATGAGGTTAAAATGGCATTAAAATGGGGAACATGGTATTAAAATGAGATTAAAATGAGGGAAAAGAGGCTAAAATGAAGGAAATGGCATGCAAATGAAATGAAAACGGCATTAAAATGAGGAACATGGTATTCAAATGAGATTAAAATGAGACACAAGGTTTTAAAATGAGGTTAAAATGGCATTAAAATGGGGAACATGGTATTAAAATGAGATTAAAATGAGGGAAAAGAGGCTAAAATGAAGGAAATGGCATGCAAATGAAATGAAAACGGCATTAAAATGAGGAACATGGTATTCAAATGAAATTAAAATAGGGTTAAAAAGGGTTTAAAAAGGGAAAAATGGGAAATAAAATTGAATTAAATGGGATTAAAATGAAGAACAAAGGATTAAAATCGGAAAAATGGGAAATAAAATTGAATTAAAGAGGATTAAAATGGGCAGAGTGATATTCAAATGAGATTAAAATGAGGCACAAGGTATTAAAATGAGGTTAAAATGGGATTAAAATGAGGAAAATGGTATACAAATGAGATTAAAATGGGATTAAAATGAAGAACAAAGGGTTAAAATGGAATTAAAAAGGGAAAAATGGGAAATAAAATTGATTTAAATCGGATTAAAATGGGCAAAGTGATATTATAATGAGACTAAAATGAGATTAAAATGAGGGAAATGAGGCTAAAATGAAGGAAATGGCATGCAAATGAGATGCAAACGGCATGCAAATGAGATTACAACGGGATTTAAACGAGGGAAATGGGGTCAAGATAAAGAAAATGGGATTCAAATGAGATGTAAATGGTATGCAAATGAGGAAGGCGGGGTTTCCAGACTCACCGCAGGCCACGGGCACCAGGCGGGGCGGGACGTAGCGCCGCCCTCCCCCCAGCCCCGGGGCTTTGGCTCCGCCCCCTTGGCCTTCCTCGCCCTCATCCTCCTCCTGAAGGACACGCCCGCTCAGGCCACGCCCACAACCCAACCCCCTTAAACCACGCCCATTTAACCCCACCCATTCATTCACAAAGCCCCACCCCTTTTACCCTTAAGCCACGCCCACTTTTACCTTTAAGCCCACCCCTTTTAACCCCTTCAACCCCACCCACAGATCCCTTGAAACCCCACCCCTTTTCCCCTTAAGCCACGCCCCTTTTTGCCATTAAACCACGCCCAATCTCATTTAAGCCCCGCCCACTCCAACACCTCAAGCCCTTAAGCCACGCCCACCATTTAACCCCTTAAGCCCCACCCCTTTTGCCCTTAGGCCACGCCCATTTTCCCATACCAGCTCATTAATTATTGAAGCCACACCCACAAGCCACGCCCCAAATCAATTGAAGCCCCGCCCACCTGCCCAACCAACCCCTCCCATAACACAATGAAGCCACGCCCACTCCCCATATAAGCCCCACCCACTTAACCCCTTAAACCCCACCCATTTTCACCTTAAGCCACACCCACTTTGCCTTTTAGGCCCTTCAAGCCCCACCCATTTAAAGCCACGCCCACACCCTGAAGCCCCTCCCATTCCCCCTTAAGCCCCGCCCTCACCTGCGCCGCCATGTTGGAGGGGGCGGGGCGGAAGCTCAGCGGATCCTCGGCACCTGGGGGGGTGATTGACAGCTGTCAATCGAACGGGGTGATGGCAGAGGGAGGGGTGGGGCTTAGAGGGGGCGGGGCTCGCACTGACCACGCCCTCCCGAGGCCGCCGCCCTCAGCAGCTTCTCCAGGTGGTACTTGAGGCGCTGCTCCAGGGGGCGGAGCTTCTCCAGCACCTGCGAAAGGGGCGGGGCTTCGGCTGGGGGCGGGGCCAGGCGACAACACGCTCCAAAAATCCCAAAATTTCCCCCAAAAAATCCCAAAATTTCCAACCTGGATCCCAAAATTTGCCCAAAATTCCACCCAGGATCCCAAAATCCTCCAAAAAACCCAAAATTCCCCCAAAATTTCCCTCCAAAATGCCAAAATTCCCCCAAAATTCCCATCCAGGAGCCCCAAAATTTCCCTCCAGAATCCCAAAATTCCCCAAAAATCCCAAAATTTCCCCCAAAAAAGTCCCAAAATTTTCATTCAGGATCCCAAAACTTGCCCAAAATTCCATCCAGGATCCCAAAATCCTCCAAAAAACCCGAAATTCCCCCAAAATTTCCCTCCAAAATGCCAAAATTCCCCAAATTTTCTGAGCTGGATCCCAAAATTTCCCCAAAATTCCATCCAGGAGCCCCAAAATTCCCCCAAAATTTCCACCCAGAATCCCAAAATTCCCGAAAATTCCCCCAAAAATCCCATCCAGGATCCCAAAATTCCCCAAAAAATTCCATCCAGGATCCCAAAATTCCTCCAAAATTTCCACCCAGAATCCCCAAATTCCCCGAAATTCCAGGACCCCCCCCACCCAAATCCCCCCCCAAAATCCCCCCAGATTTCCCCAAAATCCCCCTGGGACCCCCCAGACTCCCCCTCCTCACCACTCTGGTCTCCAGCAGCCGCTCCAGGGCCCCCCCCGAGTTTTTGAGGGAGCCCCCCCGGGTTTTGGAGCAGACGAGCAGGGCCAGGTCCTGCAGGTAACTCAGGAGCGCCTGCGAGCGCACCTGCAGCAGCGACACCCCCTGCTGGACGGGAGGACCGGCTGGAGGAGCCCGGAAAACCCCAAATTCCACCCCAAAATTTGGCCAAATTTAACACAAATTAGGCCCCAGCAGAGGCGCTCCCTAGTGGATGGGAGGACTGGCTGGAGGAGCCCGGAAAACACCAAATTTCACCCCAAAATTTGACCCAAATTAACCAGAATTAGCAATCAGCAGAGGCGCCCCCTAGCAGATGGGAGGACTGGCTGGAGGACCCCTAAAAACCCCCAAAATTGCCCCAAAAATTCTTAAAACTCGCCCGAATTTCAGCCTCAGCAGAGGCGCCCCCTAGTGGACGGGAGGACCCATGGGAGGACCCCGGAAAACCCCAAATTTCACCCCAAAATTCGACCCAAATTAACCCGAATTAGCAACCAGCAGAGGCGCCCCCTAGTGGATGAGAGGACTTGCTGGAGGACCCCGGAAAACCCCAAATTCCACCCCAAAATGTGACCCAAATTAGCAATCAGCAGAGGCGCCCCCTAGCGGATGGGAGGACTGGCTGGAGGACCCCTAAAAACCCCAAATTTCACCCTAAAATTCGACCCAAATTAACCCGCATTAGCAACCAGCAGAGGCGCCCCCTAGCAGATGGGAGGACTGGCTGGGGGACCCCTAAAAACCCCCAAAATTGCCCCAAAAATTCTTAAAACTCGCCCGAATTTCAGCCTCAGCAGAGGCGCCCCCTAGTGGACGGGAGGACCCATGGGAGGACCCCGGAAAACCCCAAATTTCACCCCAAAATTCGACCCAAATTAACCCGAATTAGCAACCAGCAGAGGCGCCCCCTAGTGGATGAGAGGACTTGCTGGAGGACCCCGGAAAACCCCAAATTCCACCCCAAAATGTGACCCAAATTAGCAATCAGCAGAGGCGCCCCCTAGCGGATGGGAGGACTGGCTGGAGGACCCCTAAAAACCCCCAAAATTGCCCCAAAAATTCTTAAAACTCGCCCGAATTTCAGCCTCAGCAGAGGCGCCCCCTAGTGGACGGGAGGACCCATGGGAGGACCCCGGAAAACCCCAAATTTCACCCCAAAATTCGACCCAAATTAGCAATCAGAAGAGGCGCCCCCTAGCGGATGGGAGGACTGGCTGGAGGACCCCAAGAACCCCCAAATTCACCTCAAAATTTGCTCAAATTTACCCCGAATTTTGGTCTAAAGAGAGGGCGCCCCCTGCTGGACAGGAGGACTGGCTGGAGGACCCCAAAAAATCCCTAAATTCACCTCAAAATTTGACCCAAATTAACCCGAATTTTGGTCTAAAGAGAGGGCGCCCCCTGCTGGACAGGAGGACTGGCTGGAGGACCCCAAAAAACCCCAAATTCACCCCAAAATTTGGCTTAAAAATTGCTTAAGATCCCCCCAAAAAACCTTCAAGGACCCCTCCAAAAAATCCAGGAACCTCAAAATCCCTTCAAAGACCCCAAAATCCCCTCAGGGATCCCCAAATTCCCCAAAAAACTCCCGAAATCCCCTCAGAACCCCCCCAAAATCCCCTCAGGATCCCAAAATCTCCTCAGAATTACCCAAAAGTCCCAAAATCCCCTCAGAAACCCCCAAATCCCCTCAGGATCTCCCAAAACCCCTCAGGGATCCCCCCCAAAAAACCAGGGAACCCCAAAATCTCTTCAAAGATCCCAAAATCCCCTCAGGATCCCCTGAAATCCCCTCAGGGACCCCCAAATCTCCTCAGAAGTTCCCCAAATCCCTTTAAGATCCCCCCAAAAAAACCCCCTCAGGACCCCCCATTCCTCCTCAAGGACCCCAAAATCCCCTCAGGGACCCCTCGAGAACCCGAAATCTCCTCAGAACTCCCGAAAAGCTCCCCAAAAATCCCCTCAAGACCCCCCAGAAACACCTCAAAATCCACAAACGCCTCTCAGAACACCCAAAATCCCCTCAAGGAACCCCAAAATCCCCTCACGATTCCTTCCCAAAATCTCAAATCCCCTCAGGATCTCCCAAAACCCCTCAGGGATCCCCCCCAAAAAACCAGGGAACCCCAAAATCTCTTCAAAGATCCCAAAATCCCCTCAGGATCCCCTGAAATCCCCTCAGGGACCCCCAAATCTCCTCAGAAATTCCCCAAATCCCTTTCAGATCCCCCCAAAAAAACCCCCCCAGGACCCCCCATTCCTCCTCAAGGACCCCAAAATCCCCTCAAGGACCCCTCAACAACCCGAAATCTCCTCAGAACTCCCGAAAAGCTCCCCAAAAATCCCCTCAAGACCCCCCAGAAACACCTCAAAATCCACAAACCCCTCTCGGAACACCCAAAATCCCCTCAGGGAACCCCAAAATCCCCTCACGATTCCTTCCCAAAATGCCCCCGGTACCTCCTTGGTCTCCAGCTGCCCTCCCCTCACTTTCCGCAGCATCTCTCGCCCGTGCGCCGCCACTTCCGCCGCCTGGAGAGGCCCAAAAGGATGATTTTGGGGGAATTTGGAGCTTTTTGGGGGTTTTTGGGTTGTTTTTTTAAGGTCTTACCTGCGCTCGCAGCGCCTCCAGCAGCGCGACCGCTTCGGACGCCGCCATGTTGGAAATGAGCGTGAGGGGAAAGGGCAGCGGCCAATCAGAGCGCGAGAAGCGCTAAGAAATCCCGCCCACAGCCGGAAAAGCGGGAATGAACGATTGACAGGCTAGCAAACCAATCAGAGCGCCGAAACGAGAGTAACTGACCAATGGAAAAAGAGGAAGGCGGGAAAACACGCGACCCGCCTTAAAGAGGGAGCTTGGCCAATAGCAAGGCGAGATTTCATGATTGACAGGTCCGGCGGCCAATAGGAATCGAGAATTTACTCACAAGCGCTTCCAACACTTCGGAGTTTCCAGCGACCCCAAAAATTCCAATTTTTTCGCCCCCAAAATTCAATTTTTTCGCCCCAAAAATCCCCTTTTATCACCCAAACCCCTCCAAATTATACCCACGGTCACAGAAATTCAATTTATTCCCCCAAATCCCCTGCTCGGCCATAATTTTTAAAAAATTTTTGTTGATTTTCACCCAAATTTCTCCTGGAATTTCCACATTTTGAAGCAGAATTTTCACCTTTTTCCACCAAAAATCCCCAAATTTTCACCAAATTCTAATTCCATTCAAACTTTCCCGAGTTTATTCCAAACTTGCCCTGATTTTCACCCAAAATTTCTAATTTTTCACCCAAATTTCCCCCCGTTTTCTACCTAAAATTTCACATTTTTGACCGAAATCCCCCCATTTTTTACCCCCAAAATTCCACATTTTTGACCTAAAAAAATTCCACATTTTCCACCCAAATTCCCACATTTTCTGCCCCAAAATTCCACATTTTTGACCCAATCTTTCCACGTTTTTTACACACTTTCCCCCCATTTTCTACCCAAATTTTCCACATTTTTAACCTAAAAATTCCAATATTTTAACCCAAAATCCCCCATTTTTCCCAATTAAAATCCAACATTTTTCTCCCAAATTCCCCCATTTTCCCCCCCCAAAATTCCCCATTTTTGACCCAAATTCCCCCATTTTCCACCCAATCTTTCCATATTTTTAACACAATTTTTCCCCCCAAAATTCTGTATTTTTGACCCAAATGTCCCAGGATTTTGACCTAAAAATTCCCCATTTTTGACCCAAACTTTCCACCAAAATTCCACATTTTTGAACTAAAAAATTCCACATTTTTGACCCAAATTTTTCCCCAAAATTCCACATTTTTTCTCCCCAAAATTCCCCACTTTTTCTCCCGAAAATTCTCCATTTTTTACTCCAAATTCCCCCATTCCCCCCAATATTTCCCTATTTTTAACCCAATTCCCCACCATTTTTAACCCCCAAAATTCCCCATTTTTGACCCAAATCCCCCCATTTTCCCCCCAATATTTCCATATTTTTAACCCAATTTCCCCATTTTTCCTCCCAAAATTCCCCATTTTTAACCCAAATTCCCCAATTTCTTCCCCATTTCCCCCCCAAATTTCCACATTTTTAACCCAATTCCCCCCCAAATTTCCCCCCAAAATTCCCCATTTTTGACCCAAATTTTCCACATTTTTTACGCAATTTTCCACCAAAATTCCCCATTTTTTCTCCCCAAAATTCCCCATTTTTAACCCAAACTCCCCCATTTTCCCCCCAAAATCCCACATTTTTGACCCAAACCTTCCACATTTTTGACACAATTTCCCCCCATTTTTCTCCCTAAAATCCCACATTTTTGACGTAAATTTCCCAGCATTTTGACCTAAAAATTCCCCTTCTTTTTACCCAAAATTCCCCATTTTTGACCCAAACTCCATTTCCCCCCCAATATTTCCACATTTTTAACCCAATTTCCCCCCATTTTTCCTCCAAAATTCCCCATTTTTAACCCAAACTCCCCCATTTCCCCCCAAAATCCCACATTTTTGACCCAAATTTTCCACATTTTTTACGCAATTTTCCCCCAAACTTCCCCATTTCTT